CACAAATCAAAATTTTATCCCCATGAGTTGGATGTTTAGAGAAATTTTCTGGTGTTCCGTGCTTCTTCTTGAAATAGTGGTTGTACTTGAAAAGTGTAACTTACCACTAGTCATATCCATTCTCTGTTGCTCTCTTCATTCTACAAGCACTGGGGTTGCCATTTTTGCTGGTGGCCAACTATCTACTTATTCACTGTCAAGACATACAAGCTCTTATTTCTGTTGCACCACGAGATATTTGATTCACTTTTTAATCTATATGAACTAAAGAGCCATGAAGGCAACAATCATATTTTTGTGATGTTAGTGGTCACTGAGCTGGTTATGCTTGGTATTTTTTTTTGGGGCGGGGGGGGGGGGGAGTGCTTCTTATTGCTAGGAACTGTTCTCTGATTTTTCCCTAACTGAAATATTCAGGTTGCAGTGTTTTACTTCCATGATGATTTTACCTGGTTGAAAGGTGCTGGTCTGGTCACAATTATGATTGGTGTCAGTTTGTTCAACTGGTACAAGTAAGTTATCTTTTTTTCTCCATGTGTTTGAGCTAACTCCTCTGCTCTTTCCCTTGAAATTGAAAATAATTTCTTCTTATGGTTGTTTTCTTCAATTGCTTAAAACATCTTTTTTTTTTGGTTCCTGGGGAGCGGCCGAAATGAATGTACTTCGTTTTGTTTTTATATGGTCCCTGTTCTTTTATTCTTCACAATATCCAAAAGTTTCCTGGCTTCCAGCCAAATTAATTAGACTAAGGAATGTGCAGATGGTCCATTTGTTGATAAAATTCGTAAAAAGTCATGATCTTCTCTGGATTTAAAGTGAGTGCCTCTGATTTCGTTGGACAAAAGTGGAAATATGTAAACTTGATTATAGATTCCAATCTTTATTTAGTTGTACACCTTTCAATTAACATTAGTTTTGGTTTTCTCCGAAGCTTGTTTGCTCATCGAATGGGCATCAAATGCTTAATATTTAGGAAGTTATTTCTATTAAATAATTATAAGGCACTAATATATGTACGCACTCTGGAAAAATGATTTAGAAGTTTAATGCTTCACAGAGAGCGACTTTTTCTTTGTCTGGGAAGTGGCAAGGGGTTGTATTTAAACAACAAAACATCATTGTGAAATGTGTTACTTCTGGAAGAGAGCTGCCGAGTCTGAGAACCATCTTCTCCTCTAGTGTTATTTTGCTTATTGGATTTGGTTTATGGCCTATAGCCTTCTGCGGATAAAGTGGACAATGGCCGGCTCTGTTAAAGAGCTGGATAGTTATTAATGGGATAAGCGTTATAACAAAAACTTAGCCTTGTTCCTTTTGTTACCTTTCGAGTAATTTGAAAGATACATAATTCCTTTTTTGAGATAACTAAGGATATTTCGTTTGAGACTCTAGGCTTTTTAGTGAATGCTTATTCTCTTTGCATTTATAAGAATTTAGGAAACCTTATTGATATTTTCACATATTTGTACTAAAGTTTTTTTGTATAAGAGTTGTATCCCTTTGGTGTCTTATTGATAAATATTATAAAAAATATTTTTTGAAAAAAAAAAGTAAAAAAATAAAAGACTACTAAAGGGATGCTACTTGTATACAAAATCTTAACAAGTCTCTCAACATATCAATTAGGGGTCCTCACAGAATAAAGAGGATAACTCTTTTCCAAAAAAAACTAAAGGTCTGGAATTAGGAATTTGATTATGTCAAAAGACAATTCTGTGGCTTCAAAAGTTCTTTTCTCCAAAATTACCCAAATGTATGAGATCTAAGCTCTTGTTGTAGCCTTTATTCCCCATGGATGTCTCGCTACGTCCTTATCTCTCTTCAACTTAACTAGCACACAACCTGCTTCACCTCCATGAGACGGAAAGTCAAACACCAGGGCAGTATGAGAGAGGGTATCACAGGAGGAGGTGGTTGACAGATTTTGCCGTCTCTATTGTATAAGTAACATCCATTCACGATAATCTTTCATTAAAATTATTATTTATGTTTTATCAACTTCGTCTTTGATCAGATATGAAAAGCTTAAGAAGGGTCAATCAAATGGAGACGAGGGTGCAATATCATCTACATCGAATGCTGCTGGCAAATACGTTATCCTCGAGGAGATGGATGATCATGACAATGATGGTGATTGAGAGCCTCAGCCATAAGCTGCTATGGACTTAACGAGTAAGTTTCGCCACCAACTTGAGATATTTGACGTTTGCTGATATATCAAATCGTCAACCATTTTACTTGTTGGAACCGCTTGGGAAATTGGTGGAAAACCTAGAGGAATGTTTTTCCTCTAACCTATCCGCATCAATGGGAAAATCCTATTTGCTATGGAAGCTGCCTCAAGGGTTTTCCTTGAGAATATATAGGATGTTTATGTTATACATTTTCTTCAACATTGAGGATTTTGTTAATTGAATTGTCTTTATTCTTTACCCATTACTACTGAGGCAGTACAGCTGTATATTTCTGGCATGTCATATGTTAAAAAGTTGCTACCTTTTTGTCGTCAAATATTCATCTCATATTTGTTTTGCTGTAAAAACCCGTTTATGATTCCTCGGGTGAAATGGCAAACAAAAAAAATACTAATAGCATTCTTGTTATCCTAAAAAAAAAAACATAATAATTCAAGTATCCACAGTAGGGTAAATTTTAATTGTATCTTTTTGATGAACTAACAAGAATTTATTTATTTTTATAGATGAGAATGTAAAGACATCCGGAGACAAGCCTATGGCAAAGGTTACTTTCAAATTCAAGTTTGTGTAGCTAGTACTATGAATGTGTTATGATAGTGAAGAAATCAATGAAACTAATTATGTCAACTTGTTTGTTTGAAAGAAATTAAAGATAAATTTGTAATCATAAATAGTTTAAGAAACAACTTGGGAGGTTGAATAATGCGAGAACAATGAGAACAATGAGAGTTATAAAAGTTAAGAAGCATTGAAATTATACTACCAGAGTCCCTTATATAGACTCTTCCAAGGACTTGTTTGGAAGCTTGGTACAATATGGAGAAAGAACTAGAAACTGTAATCACTATACATAAAGATTGACATTACAAACAAAATTAAATTCGATCAGATCCAATTTTCTCAAAATAATGAATTTATCATCATACTAATGTATTTCATGCAAGTAATTAAGCTGTGCATATATTATAACCCTCATACAAAACTTGTATGGGAAAAGAAATAAAACAACACGTAGAAGAGCTGAAGTAAACAATGGAATGTTCTTTTGAGAAAATGGTATTTCTTTATCTAAAGCAGCAATGATCATATACCTCAATGGAGGATAATAGCTACAACAAAAAAATTAAAACAAAATAATCTTACATGAAATTATCAATGATTAACATACAGTTTATTTATAAGAAGCCAAGGAAATTGATCAGCAGTAATGCCAAGAGATTGGTAAGTCTGTATGGACACAGTGTCTATGTGAGACATAAGAATAAAGTAGTTCATGCAAGATGTTAAAGTCTGTATGGGCAGTGGCTAATTAGACTCAGATCCTTGGTATGTGTTCATTTCAATGTCAACTATCATCTTATAATTCAACGTAAGCTACTTTTTTTTTTTCAAATCACAATGGTAATTATCTTGTTTATATTTCATTGGCCTCACTATCCTAAGATTCTAACTCTAGCTTTAACTTAACATGCTACTTCAAGGCAAAAAAATCAAGATGGTTCAGAAGAAAATAATGCAACTTACTCATCCTGTCATGTAGGCTAGCTAATTAAATCCTGATTTTAACATACAAGTTTGGGTCCTAAATTAGATGTTTGTCATCGAAATGGCCCGATAATCGTAATTCAATCCGTGGGTATTGGGCCTTCTAGTAATGAGCTTGCAATCCATATGAAGGTTAGGGAGTGTAGGTGTACATGCAAGAGGCTAGACAGAGAGAATTCACATGGTCTTCACAAGTCCATCACTGCAGCTTCTATTGTTAATTAGGAGGGGAACTAAGTAAAAACTATTTCATGCATATAATTGTATAGTTTAGTTACTAATGGAAAGAAAAAACTGAAAATGACATAGTTTTTTTTAGTGTTCTCTAAAAAATTGATCAGCAGTAATGCCAAGAGATTGGTAAGTCTGTATGGGCAGTGGCTAATTAGACTCAGATCCTTGGTATGTGTTCATTTCAATGTCAACTATCATCTTATAATTCAACGTAAGCTACTTTTTTTTTTTCAAATCACAATGGTAATTATCTTGTTTATATTTCATTGGCCTCACTATCCTAAGATTCTAACTCTAGCTTTAACTTAACATGCTACTTTAAGGCAAAAAAATTAAGATGGTTCAGAAGAAAATAATGCAACTTACTCATCCTGTCATGTAGGCTAGCTAATTAAATCCTGATTTTAACATACAAGTTTGGGTCCTAAATTAGATGTTTGTCGTTGAAATGGCCCGATAATCGCAATTCAATCCGTGCGTATTGGGCCTTCTAGTAATCAGCTTGCAATCCATATGAAGGTTAGGGAGTGTACGTACATGCAAGAGGCTAGACAGAGAGAATTCACATGGTCTTCACAAGTCCATCACTGCAGCTTCTATTGTTAATTAGGAGGGGAACTAAGTAAAAACTATTTCATGCATATAATTGTATAGTTTAGTTGCTAATGGAAAGAAAAAACTGAAAATGATATAGTTTTTAGTGTTCTCTAAAAAACTTCTATACTTTCTTGAATAAAAATGTAAACCGCAAAGAAAATAAAAACTGAAAAATATTTCCATTTGCAACTTGAATATATATTCAAGCTATGATCTTGAAAGCCGTTTATAGTCCCTTTATCATACCTCTTCACTTTCCATGCTAAGCTTCCATATGAATTTTCCAAAGATTTTAACGCTGAAACCATAGAAAGAAAGATAACTCATCAAACTACAAAATAAAATTTCAAGGAACTCAACTCGAGAATCGGAGGCTCAGTCAGCACTAATATTCTAAACTTGAGAATACACCTTACTGATCTAAATGCCCTTTATTACCATGTAACACTGGGACTTCCTCCATAAGAGAAACGGCTTCAATTTCTTCCAGGATCTCCGATTCACTCCCCCTGTCAAATGTACATGAAGCATATGACAACATGGACACTAGTTGAAGGCAACACCATTTGGGCTCCATTTCAAATCTCCCATGATCACTTACATTGTAATATTCGGGATTGGTGCATCAACGCTAAAAAGTAAAAGGTTGTGAAGGATTACCTTGGTTTGACATTTTGCACCTCCAAACAATCTCCAACCATCGCACGCTTAAGTGAAGCGAAGTTGGGAGTAAGAGCAATTGTTTCAAACAATGCAGACTGGGCCTCACGTATCTTAAAAATTCTGATAGAGCTTCCCAGATAATTATACAATACCAATGAAGATGCATCATAGATCATAACCAATTCACCGTTATGCAGTTGTTTAATTGGTCGACAGTGACCGCACAAGTAGAAATCAATGGAGAACTTATTCATCCATGAGTCTTGTACACCATAATCCTCCATTACCCAAATGTGAAAGCAACCAAATGAAGTATTATCACATACAAAAAGTGATCCTCCAAGCAGTCCCATGGTCAAGTAATTTGACCTCACACAAGCTTTCTGCTTATCACCAATGTTTGGAGGTGGAGGAACCACCCGGAACTGCTCATCCTCAATGTCGAACGCCATTATGATATCTGGACTTTTACCATCACAAAGCCAATGAATAGCTCCATTCAAATAGGTAGCAGACGAGCCCTGTGTAGGGTCATCTGGGGCACATCCGACATTTCGCCATGAATTCGTGCCGAGTGTATAGACCTCTGCTATTCGATCGGTTGCTGAATCCTGGAAAACCAGCCGCACCACCTTGTATTCGTCACTCTTAGAACAACAACCAAACCCAGAGACAATCATGCTCTTGATAGTCTGATACTTTTTGGGCTTTGGAATCATTACGAACTCGCCAGTAATAGGGTTGCACACGATAGAAGGGCTTTTAAAAGAATTTTTACGCAAACATAGAAATCCACTGCATGAATTCACAACATCGAGTTTACGTTTTTCCATTGCAATTGATTTATCTTTCTGATTGCAGTTTGGGAGAGCGAATCGCATATCAATACGAGTCTCTAGTTTATCGCACAAATCTAAAGGAGGCACAGTAGTTCTAATGCTCTCAATATCAACAAAATGAACAAATGCAGAGATTCTTCTTGAGGAATCAGTTCGAAGAAATATGTCCTCGTCTGCTCTATCCAAACGGCGTTTAGTAAAAAGAGGATCAGCGATTACAGATCGCCAGGTTGAACACACGCACCTGCAGCAGAAAATCGACTTGATAGGGAGTCTGGAGAGTATGTTGCCGACAATGTGACTCGTCAGGTCGAGTATGTGAGTTTCCTTTCTCGGTGCTCGCTGTTGCAGCAATTCTCTGTCTACATCCTCCATGTCAAGGTTGCTTGCGATCTGTGGCGCTGTTCCTAGAGACATTCGTCTCCTTGTAACGCTTCTTCTGAGATTTTTTGAATTTAAATTTTCGGTGAGGTGATTGGAGAAGAAGGTCATTTTGAAGAAACCGTCTAAGAGGATTTTACGTCACTCGAGAAAAGATTCTTCATGTTCTCCGCCTTGAACTGGAATGAACCTGGACAGTCAGCAGTTCAACAATTTAAGATCCGAAAGGCTTTTCGGATCATCCAAACCCGAGAACCAACGGGAAACACAACCCAAATCCAAATCTAATGGACCTGATTGACTCAAAATTAATCCAAGCCCACAAAGGATTTACTGAGTTCAACGTCGCCGTTTCAATGCCAGTTTTGCCAACCATTGAAACGACGCCGTAGCAAGCCTCACGCGCAACCCTGAATGGAGTGAAACGGATATATATGATTTATTTTTCTTTAGGTCGAGGAAGATAGTAAACGATGGAAGCGTTGGGAGGTGGCAATGGCGGTATCTGGAGATGGAACTTTACACAGAGGAATAAGAATAAGAAGCAGTTTGATTCTCGAAGTAAAAGATCAAACTCCAAACGCTCCGACTCCGTCGACGCAACTGGGAGAACTGGTTATCGTTTTCCATTCAAGCAAGCCGTCACAGCGGCTTCTCTTGCTCTAACCGGCGACACGATCGCTCAGGTCACGGATAGGTGGAGGAAACGAAATGCACTGGAGAATTCTGATTCCAGTCGTTTAAGTAAGGTCAGGTTTTGTTTTTTAATGTTCGTTTATCTATTATATTCCTTCCTGTTTGGTTGCTGAGAAAACTTTTGTAAGTTTCTTTTGATGTGATTAGTCTGATTATACCGTTTCTGATCGCGTGAGACTGCTTTTTCTTTATAATTTCTTGTTGTACGCTGCCAGCCGTCTAGTTATTTTTGTATCTTGCTTCATTTACTGTCTTAAGAGTATGTTTTTCGGTGTTTCATGAAATGTTTCTGATTTACTGTTTCAGTTGTAGATATTGCTACTAGTTGTACTTCAATACCTACATATGTATTTCTGTTTAAAATCTTGTTCCTTTTGACTTTCTTTCAGTCACTAAAAGAAACATATTCTCAATTATCAATAGCATTTCCTATGTTATACTTTATATGATATTGTCTTTGTCTTGTAGTATCTCGTTTCGCTGTTTCCCCTGTCAATGATTATGTTTTCTACAGTGTTGAAGGCATAAATTACTGAAACTTCTCAGAAAGAAGTTATTTAATTTTTAAAAGAAGAGTCAATTTTTCAATATGGGATGGAGGGAGTACTGTAATGTTTTCATTTTGGTACTTAAGTACCCCAAGTGGATGTTTTGAAAGTTTTAGTTTATTTTCCTGTTAGGATGAGCTGTGGTCCCTTCTTCAGAACCATGATTGGCTACGTGCCGTGCGGATGACTTCATACGGGTTTCTTCTCTACGGCCCTGGTTCTTATGCATGGTATCAGTATCTTGATCATCGTTTGCCAAAGCAAACAGTGGAAAATTTAATGTTGAAGGTGTGATCCTTTAGCTTTCATAGTTGACTTCCAAAACATGACAATCTTGGTAGCATTAAGAATTTTTCAATGTAAAGGTTGAACTACTTTTGTGTTTTTCCAGGTTCTATTGAATCAAATAGTACTTGGTCCAACTGTGATTGCTGTTGTGTTTGCATGGAATAACTTATGGCAAGGGAAGCTCTCACAGCTTCCAGAAAAATATCAGAAAGATGCTCTTCCCACTCTTCTATATGGTAAAAACCTCTTCCAATCAATCCTTCTATTAGCTTGATAATGTGGTTCAGTTTTCATTTATTTAATTTGACATTCTTTTGATGAATGTTGTGCAGGTTTCAGGTTCTGGATACCTGTTAGTGTATTGAATTTTTGGTATATTCCTCTCTCAATGACCCAAAATTATATTTGTATATGGTCCTCCAATCTCAGTGCAATTACTTGTTTAGTTGGAACTGGAAGTATTGGTTTCAGTTGACAAGTTGTCTCAGGAATTAGATAAGCATATTTTGCCAATATGATTGTTAACTAGTCATAATAGTCAGTTAGTTGTAATTTGTTTGAGTCCTTTGTTTGAGTCTATGTTAGTGGCATGAGGAGACTATAATGAATTTAGGTTGTACTATTACTTTATTAAGCATCAGTACAAATATATCAATTGCCAGTTCATCTCTTGAAATTCCTACTATGCTTTCTGATTTCCTCTTCTGGTCTCTCAGTTTCTACATCTTAAGCTCATTGATGGAATTATTTGTAGGGACTCACAATTTGGTACCCCAGAGCCTTAAGATTCTTTTCCTTTTGTTCTTTACTTTTTTGGCTCCATTAGAGAAGGACACATCTCCAGGAGAAAGTTGAAGATGGGCATAGGACCCGCATCACCAGGGTGCCAAAGGAAAGCCTCAGCCACTTGATCTGGCTTTTTTTTGATTGGCAAGAGGCTTAAGATTCTTGCTTCCAAACCCTTAGTTCTCTTTCTAAATCTCTCCTTTTAACCAATTGTTTTCCTCTTGTTCTTGATACCAAGAACCAACCCTCTTCTTTAGTTCCTCTTTTTTAGATCTTATTATTTATCTCTTAAGCAAAACCTGCAATATCTAACAACAATAGCATTCGAAGTCTGGATGAAAATGTGCAGTGTCTTGATCAGAACTGTAAAATCTTTCCAGAAAGAAATTTTACGAGGTCTTGGAAGCATTTCATCCTTGGAAACAAACCTCAGCTGAAGCATGCTGAGCAGCAAGATTACCAAGAGCGAATGAAACACATAAAGGTGCGTGTATGGGAGTTCATGAAGCTCTCAACCTACAGAATGTGGGATGTTCATCTTATGTGTTTCCTACCTCTCTTCTTGGAGTGGATACATTCCTCTTACCTACTCCACAGCCTATATAATTCAAGCCTATAGCTCGGGCCATGAAGACGTCATATAAAATTATCTTATTTGGTGGTTAGTAAGTAAAATTAGCTGCGGACTTGGGATAGTCTCCTGGTTGCCAAGTCCAGAACAAAGTTTTTTATTCTTATGCCTTTAGTTACTTTTACAGTCATCTGAAAGAGACGAATAGAAGAGCATTTTAGACTTCTTCCTCTCACTAGTGTATCTGGGATCATTGGCTTAGGAACCTCTGTTCTTAGTTTAAGAGTCACCTTATTTTGATGATTCAGATTAACTAAACCCTATTGATCTGTCTTCTGGCCTATCTTATATATTCTTGTTCCAGGATGGTCTGCCCCTGATGCCTTCTAATGCGTTTCCTTTTTATTCTTAAAAGTTAATGATATAATGTGGTCAAGTGGATACTTTTTTGGGCATGTAATCTGACTAAAGGTTTTTATCTTTTTGTGGTTTTTCACATGGACATGAAGCTTCTTTCTATAGTTATTTTCGTGGTGTTAATGCTTCTATCCATGTCTTTTATTAAGGGTTATTAATAAGCATTAATAAGAATACATCATTTCCCGAATGTTCTCTCGGATTTGCTTAATCATTTGACACATTAACACTGGAGTGGACACGGGAATTGCTACATGATAGATCGCAAGCAAATGCCTGAAAATTATGGTTTTATTGCTTTGGATCGTTAATCTGCTGATATATAGTGGACTATTTTTCTTCCTCTAACCATCAAGGTTGTTGGTTGTTTTGGATGGTTTGGTGGATCATGATGATTAGAGGTAGAACATAGCACCAAATAAATTACTAAATACTTACGTTTTTATGGTACATATTTACTTCCCTATGCTCATGTCATTGACAAAATTCAAGTAATGTTTATTACTTTTAGTAGTTTAGTTTCTTTGTAGTGTGTAACATTTTAAATCATTTACTTAACACAATTTATAGGGTGGTTCCTCTTCAAGCCCGTGTAGCTTTCATGTCCATGGGCTCCATATTTTGGAATTTCTGCTTATCTTCAACTATGAGCAAGTAGATTCATCTGCACAGGGGATATATGAATCATCTGCTACAAGTGTTGTATACTATTGTGAGCTTGAGGTATGCTTCTTCCTCCTGATTTTATTGCCTTTAAGGGTGTCCGATTACGTCTATAATTCTTTTCCACCATTTTTTTTGTATGATAAGAATTTACTCTTAACCCAAAATTGGGTGAACATCAGATCAAGGAAGAAAAGAAGACAGCAATTATTTCGGTCTTTCACAAACTCGCCAAGTTTTGAGCTTCGTTGACAGGTTACATGTCCAGTGCATTGAATGATCTTTGTAGAAATCTGTTTCTCATTGATTATTTATCTACTTGTGATACAAAAAAGTAGAGATGTATTTATAGTTCATAGACAAGCAAGTTGAATGATATTATAATTTCATAGTTGATTAATTGAGCCTTTGCCCTTTTACTTTATAATGTTCATTTCAACCTGAACAAATGCAATTTATTTTAGAAATGTTTCAAGGAACTTTTCTCAATTGAATGAATTAATTAAGAAAAGACTGAGACTGGATAGATTGTTTGCTGCGAGCAACTTGTGGTTTATTATTATTGTCAAATTTTTGAGATCTAGAAAAGCTTCAGTTTACTATCTCCCTATATATATACATATATATATGTGTGTATCTATGCATGGAGGGAGGATATGCAGTATAAAAGAGAAGCGTGGCAACATTCTAATGAAGCCAAGTGTCAGTGCATGAACCGAGGCCCTTTATGTCAATGGGTAAGCAAAGCCTCCCCAAACATGTATAGTTTTTCCTTGATATATACGTTGATATGTGTGTGTATATATATATACACAATTACATATAGAAAAGAAAATTCAATTTCAAGCAAATTATATATGCCACGTAGAAGCGAAGGCAACCCTTGAATCTCAGGAAGAGCATTCAACTAGAGAATATATATATATATATAGATACACACACACACACACATATCTTTTAAGTGAAGATAAATATGCCAAGTGGTTAGAATCTTATTCCTTGCTTCATTACTATTGTACTACCCTTTAGGCTTTGAGCATCAGCTTCCAAACCAAAGCATCTATTCAGAGGACAAAATATACTTTACATCACACCATAAAAATTAGAAGGATATATTCACTCAACACTAAATGATCTTTAAACAGTAAAGAAATAAAACATATAAGAACCTCACTGAACCAAGACAGCCCTTCATTTCAATTCAAAGGATTAAACGTGAGCAGCTGCATTTTCTTCTGGAAAAATATCAACTTCATTCGTTTCCTTCTGATTCACTATGAGCAATGGAAGACACCGATTTGCATCCAGAAATTGGAATGAACCGGACTTTGCTCCTGCATATCTCCCTAACAATATCAGCACGCGAAATCGAGTTTACCCTCGAAGCTTTTCCTTCAGAGATGATTCTGTAAGTATCACTTCAGCT